CACCCCAGATTCCGATCATTTCTAACCATTGGAATGTCGATATCCGCTGCACTTTCATAATGGCAGAAGTTAGCATTTCTTTCCGTCTCCGCGCTTCATTTCACAAAGTTTATGTGCGGCGATGATCTTCGTTTTTTATGCCATCAGTCGGTGGTACGTATGTACAGTTTAAAGGCAAAATACATAACTATATAGCAAGCCTAGTATGTCTCCTTCAGTGGTACAGTGGTTGAATTCCATACCTTTGAGGTATGGAATGCGAGTGACCAGACCACGGTTCGAACCGAAAATTTATCGGTTTCAAGTCCGCCGTTCCACCGACCGTGAGCAACTCCGATTAGTGGTTAGCAGTTTGAAAGTGTCACCGCAAAATGGTTGCCGTACGGTGAACGTTTCGACGGCTACGAGTTGTGAGGTTTCACCTCGCCGTCACCGCTTAGAAGCCATTAGTCGTGCCGCCTCTTTCTCTTTCCTGGCTTTCCGCGCGCTTTAACTTTGCTTATGCCGAACGCCGCTGTTTTTTTTGCCGTCAACTATTTGATCTTGCCGCCGATTCGTATAGAAGTGAATAATAATGCTTCGGTAAGGAGTTCGCTTACTCACTCGTCACTTCGCCACGTCGTCCGACGATGATATGGACGTAGCTAATGCATTTCACTAATCAATCTTTAAGTCCGGTCGAGTGATCGACGCACTGCCGGTTTTTGTAGTATCTGGAGGAAACGCGATCAGTGCTGATAGCTTAATCATCGCCTGAACCATGTCATGGCTTCAAACGTTTTTCATTATGAGTGATATTCCAGCTACCGCTCTGATGGGCACATGGCACGGTTTAAACATGTTGGGACGATATCGATCTGACGTCGCTGGTGACTTTTGCCTGTTTCAGTGAAAGAAGTGTACAAGAAAATCGCTATTAGAACAACATCATAACCAATCCTGCTTTTAGTGTAGAGAAAAAACACTAGAGTACCGAACAATACACAAATCAAATATGAAATGCGTCGTCTTATAATTACTTTCCTACTGTAGCTTTGGATTGGTTTACTCTGCGTAGATGTGTTAGAAGCAATTTGCCGAATCATTTCCTGATCGATCTACGACGGGCGGCCCCAACTCACCTCTGATATCTTCATGGTTTTGGAAGTAGAAGAAAAACCTTAAATCGAAATTGTTCATCTCGAAGAATTCGCTAAGATCATACGACGGTATGATCACCATCAAGTACGCATAACCAATGGCTAACCGTCGGCTGGCCAAAAGTATGTCCTCGGGCCGCGGTGTAAGCGATGACATTCCTTATGTTTAAATTCAGATTTACGTCATCAGACTTGTCGGCTCTTTTCTTGTTGTTCGGACATCCGGATGGAAGCCGAGTAGTATCGAGATTACGTTGTTCCTGGCTTAGATGGACATCAAACGAGAAGAAACCAAAGTTATCCGTCCGCCTCTTGACGTGTTCGAAAGGCGGATTACGTTTGCACCGTGTGTTGTTGAGATTTTCCCTGTTTTACGGAATGGTTCAGTGTAAAGCGCTTGTTCCACTGTATGGGAATCTTTTCCTGTGACAGCTAAAAAGCTAAACACGTCACTGGCGTCAAACAGATGAGGTGGGCATGCAGCGTAGAGAAACAGAGTAAAGGCGTATTAGCTTTCGGAAGGGAATCGTCCTTACTGTGACGCAGTAATCGATGTCTTACAACGAAAGTTCGTAGCATGTCGGCTGAAACGGGTGATCACGGCAGTATACGTTGTGGCAAGAGGTAGGAAGAACGGTAGTTTGTGACTCTTCCTAAAGAATGTAAGTACTATATTGCCACCTTGTGCCTAGCGATTGCCTCTGGCCCCGTTTGTGGAAACGCTACAGTTAGCTGGCGAACGTTTGCATGCGAGTTCATTCTCAGCGCGTTTTACTGGCTGCGGTAAAACAGGCTGAATGAGACCTTTTATGCTTGTTTTACGGAAATGTATTCTGCAGGTTTTTGGTATCAAATCCGCAACTGATCGGGCGATTCATGTTCATTCAAAACGCTTCCGTTGGCGTGACCGTAAGTTTTGTCAATTCCACTGTGACCACGTCATGCTACCACCGTATCGGTGTTCTTCGCGGATCATCAGCTTGCTGTCTACTCCCACGGATCATATTAACTTAGAATCGACGCTAAGTGAATTTGCGGTCGTCACGAAACACTGAATGCGTCTCAGGACCTGAACGCGTGCTCCCTCATAATTTACGGTATATTTTCCCCGTTGACGACGAAAACTTGTTCGAATGCATTAGTCTAAAAAACTGCCGCCTTAGGGTATTTTGCGACAGTCTTTGAAGCAAAACTTTAGTATCTAAATTTACTTAAAAGTTTGTTCAAATTTGTTTTTCTAGATATGTGCTCGAGGAGTTGGTTACGTCAGAAAAAGACTACGTGAAAGATTTGGGATCAATTGTTGAGGTACGTTTTTCCTTGAAACGTAAATGAAATGTAAACGTTACGTTATGTGCTTTTCATGCGGTCTGTCTTTGATCGACATTTGTTTGAGATGTGATTTTGATTGTTGAACGATCGACACACACAAACAGACCAGTTTTTGCTTTTGTTGCGCTGTTAGCGCTTAGCAGACGATTATGCCGGACTCTTAAACTGGTTATCACTCCCAGCTCAATTCTTTGAATATGGAATGAAGACCACAACCGGCATGCAGAGCCGCCAAATTTTTTGACACCAATGTATCGATGCAGAAGATGACGAGTGATCCAGTTGTGTATAGATTAACTATGTAGGATATGGCCGCGCAGATGTGCTACATAAGTGGCGGAGGCAGATGAGCACTGATGCTCGCCAACAAGACTCCACTGAACTTTCTAACTTCCGTCTTTCTTCTACCGTGCCCCAAGGAAACAGGGTACATGAGAACATCCGGCGAACTCAGAAATCAGGCCATGTTTTGTTAACGCAACGGTGGTAACGCAAGCCTTGTTTTTTTGTTGTTGTTGAATATGTGTTTTAAAGGGCGCCCCGAAACTCGGCCCGAAGCAAATAATGCTTGCTAGTAAAGGAATTTTTGACGCATGTATGCTTTATTATGATTCGGAGATCAGAATTTTGGGGGACAACCCGCAGCAAGAAAACGTCATTCATTTTGGAAACATTGCGAAAGTCTGATACGCGCGAAGTCGAACTGTCAAATGATGTCAAATCGAACAGCGCGCCTCTGATTGTCGTCACTCACCTCACGCGTCACAGCGGCTGCGTCGTTGGATTCGACGGCAACATAATCACACAGGAACGATCGTCGTTCTGCAGATTCATGGTTCACTGACCGGGAAGGCCATGAATTAACCGACCCATCCTTGTATCAGCTGCACGGGTCTTTTAGAGTCTGTTTCAGGTGCTGCTAAGTGTGCTACCAGGGCTTTAATTCTTTTATTTATCTTCTCGGATTCCTGTAGGAGGTAGGAGTTGGTTCAGATTGGCTGTACGAATAGATAAAACTTTGTTGCTGTTGGAAGGTGTTGTTGATCGACTGTGCGGAAGAATCTTGCGCTTTCACAACGCCTCGTATGAACTCAACTTTTTAATGAACTCCCTTCTGACCACTGGCCCGGCGATGTTCGTCAAAAGGGCCGATAATATTATGTTGATCTCGGTTTTGCGGGACGTGGAATGAAGCTGCAAGATGTCGT